ATTCTCTACAGAATACCCCATACAAGCTGGTCTATGGACATGATGCAGTTTTGCCCATCGAAATAAATATTGAATTGAATCGAATACAGAGGCAGAATGATTTACCCAGTTGTGATTATATGAACTTGATGTATGATGAATTAAATGAACTCGATGAAATAAGATTACAAGCGTTGAATAGTATGATTTTACAAAAGAATCAAATTGCTCGAGTTTACAATAAAAGAGTTCGAAAGAAAACGTTTAACGAAGGCGACTTAGTGTGGAAAACAATTTTACCAATGGACAAGAAATGTAAAAGTTATGGTAAATGGTCGCCCAATTGGGAAGGACCTTTTGAAGTTAGTAAAGTATTATCGAGTAACGCTTATTCGATCATCGATTGGTATAACAAAGATAAAGTGCTATCGATAAATGACAAGTACTTGAAAAACATAAACCTCGAATGAGAGAAATAAACATTCAACATTAATTGGGATAGAATAATGTTTACAAAGAGATGTATTGAGTTTTAAGATTATCAAAATCTATCAACAGCTGTGTCCAGGACGATGAAATTGAGTTCTCTTCGACGGTCAGCTTATGCTTGCGCTCCATGCTTTGCCCAAGAGATAACGCCACCTCCTTCGCAGAAGAGTTAATCTTATTCAGCTCTGACGTAAGGAACCCCTTCTGCGACTTCAACCGTTGTAATCTCTTCTCCAACTCTTCGATCTCATTATCGACCGAAGTCAGCGCCATCAACGTCTCCTCTCGATTGAGCTTCTGAGTCTTCAATAAATTCGACTTCTCAATCTGGAAAGAAGAAATGTCAGATAACTTAGTCGCTATCGACTGCTTCTTCTTCCTTGCAGCATAGGCTCGGTTGAACAAATCGATGGTCGCCGCGACCTCTACATCGAAGCCTCTCGGAAGAGTCTCCTCAGGAAATGTCTCGATAGAGGTGAGAATCTCTTTGAAGATTCGTTTCTTTTCAAATGATTCTACCAAAACTTCCAGAGGCGAAGAGTAGAAGAAGGTCCTGAAACGCTGTTTCAGTTGGTACGCTCCTTCAGTCGAAATGGTAGGTGGTTGAGAGGAGTGGCTTGAAGGAATGGCGTCACCAGATACCAAAATATCGAGGATCGAGAAAGGGTCTTCCTCGATGGCAGCTCGATACTCGGGCACATTGCTTGGAGCGGGCGCATCTATCTCGGGTAATGTCGTCGAGAGCAACTCGAAAGAAGGCATCGCAAAAGGAGGGGAATCCTGTTGCTCTGCAGAAGCTGGGGAAGGAGAGTCCTGGACATGGACTACCGGGATATTTACTGAAAAGAAAAGAAATCGAAGATATAAATCGAGAATTCATAATAAAGAATGAAATGAAAAATTAACATAGTGAAGTAAAAAGTTTTAAGTACCAGGGGGAGGTAGAGCAAAGGGTGCTGAGGCAGGAGGAAGAGTCTGTACAGCCTCAGGTTGCTATAAATTGAAAACAAATATCAGAAAAAGAAATGTATAAAAAGTCAAACAAACATACATACAAAATTATATAAGAGTAGTACCTCAGGAAGGGGTATTGGTGATAAAAGCTGAGAATCGACATTTGTCGATATTGTCGCCGATGGATGATCCTGGAAAAATATCGAATTTTGAAGTCATGTTATAGGCCTTATTGAAATCTAAGAATATAAAGTCTGTGAAAAAAGGAAACTTACGTGACTTGAGCGAGTAGCGGGTGTTGTTTGGCCCGTTGTAGGGACTGTGTTAGAATCCGTCGATAATGGATCAAGGGCAGATGGTTGGACGGATCGAGGACTCTTCGATTTTTGTTTTTGAAAATTAGAGATCGAAAAGAAATAGGTATAAGAATCCAAAGTGGATCAACCATAGACATAGAAAAATGAATAAAACAATGAGAAATTGAAAAGAACCTTCGATTTCTTCGAAGATGAGGAAATGGTGGCCGAATGTTTGCGTTTTCTGACGAAGGCCGATGGGTCTGACTCATCTGAGGACTCCCAGTCCTCCTGTTCCTCCTCCTTCTCTTTCTCGACAGTGACGACCTTGGTGAACTTCGAAATTGTCGAAAAAAAGAAGACAATTAGCTTACAATATACAGAATAAAAAAACATGAAAAGGTAGTAAAATCTCACCAAAAGGTGATGGAGTCAAAATCGTGACTCGATCGATATGTACAAGCCAGGGAGGCAGGAGAAATTGAGGGAGATGGAGGTAAGGGAAATAAGACAATTTCGATACAGAAATATCTTTGTTTTTAGGTTTTGGGCGAAGTGTTTCTCTTAGGGATCTCAATTCTCGAACCCATTTGGGATGAGTTAAAGGTTTGGCGATTCCAAAGGGTGTTGTAGGAAAAGTGGGAAGGTGATTGAGACAATACATTTCAAAAGAGGTTTTTCCTAAAGGATTGATTATTTTGTGGTTCGATCGATTGGTGGTTGTTTTATGGGATAAGGAAATAACAACATCATAGAAAGTCGATTCTAACTTCAATGGGTTGTAACATATTTGATAAAAATTCTCGAATCGAGATATTTGAAGACAGTGGAAGTGTGTACCTTTCTTCGCTTTCGATTTGTCCTGCAACACAAGAGAAGGATGAACAGTCAATTTTTGTCGGACTTCGTCAAAAGTAGAATGATTACTCGAGAACCAATCAACCCACCATTGAGAGAAACCCACAGTTGATAAATAATTTGATTCAAAAGCATAGGGATAAAAAAGTAGTGGGGTTTGTGGTAGTAGTTTGGTCAACTCCCGTCCGATTGTCGATTCATTTAACTTGGACCTTGGGGAGGGATGAAGGGGGAAGAAAGGTAAGGATTGGTTCAAGCCAAATTGTCTCGAGAAAAGTTGGGGGTAATAAGTGATAAACCTAAAAACCCTGTAAACCCTAAAACCCCAGAAACCCTAAACCCTAAGTTTTGTGGGCCTCCAAACACCAAGGCAGGAATGTTGAAAGAATATAAACGGAAATTATTTATATTCTTTCAAGGGGGCATTTTGTTAGTGGAAAATCGAGAAAAGTGATCGAAAAACGAAGGAAAGAAAAATCGAGAAACATGTGATTTATTGATAAATCAAAAAGATGGATGAGAAACCATTCGATGTTCAATTAGAAGTGTGTGGCACATAAAATCGAGAGGTAGAATCAAGAATCGAAGGAATAATAGTTAAATGTCTATTGTCGAATAAAAACCATGAAATTAGAAGTATATGACATTAAGGTTAAAAGGAATCGAAAGCAATTCAAAGTTCTCGAGATCTTAAAATCAAAATTGAGGGGAAGATTAACTTACGAGGATATCGAAATCTTGACCAAATCATAAAGAGAAGAATAGTTAAACACGCAGATAGGAAGCAGTTTTTAACCGTGGCAGAGGTCGAAGATCATGGGAACGTGAGTGCGGTTTTAACACCACAGGAAAATAAACCGCAACATGCACGAAGAACGTGGTAAGCAGTTTCGTTAACTGCTCCTAAGAGACTACTTGAAAGATGATCTATAAATAGAGCAAAAGATGAAAAGGAAAGGAGGGTGGAAAAATTGGCAGAGAACAGAAATACTAGTGAGAAGTCTACCGGAGAACGACGAACATCATGAAGTTTCTGGCGATCTGGATTTCCATACTCATTGAGTACCTTTACCGCTTTCTTTATTTTCCCTGGTAATCTAATTTGATGCAATTTATCTTTAGTAACTTTAAGTTTCTGTACTTTCGATTCCTTGTCATTTCCTTTAATGAAAGTTAAGTTTCCGCATTTAAGTTTCTTGCTATTTACATTTCTGTAATCTCAATTTCTTGTTATTTACATTTCCGTAATCTCGATTTCTTGCTATTTACATTTTTTGCATATTTCGATTTCACCGCAGTTATATTTTCTCGCAATCTCGATTTCTGTCATTTACATTCTCGCTACTCCAATTTCTTGTCATTTAATGCAAATTTAAGGTTTTTGCATTTTTACCTCTTGGCAATTCAATTTTATGTTTTGCTTTTCGATTCGACGCTTCTATTGCTTTGTTTACTTTGAACACTCTAAACATAAAATACCAAAAACAGCATTTTCGATACTATGTAAACTTCGATTCTCATATGCATTTCAATTGAAAATCAATTTGCTAGCCTAAATAAAAAAGAACTTGCGTGGTTGAATTTTGATTAGAATCAAAATCTCTTAAGAATCGGAATCGATCGAAATTCCACCAGAAACACATATAAATTATAAATACTCAATCAAAAACGAAGAAAATTCTAATATTTATACATATGGCTTAGACTATATGGTCAAGATCAATTCTATCTTTTTCATATTACAATACGCGAGGAAGAAAAATAGAAAGACAATACATGTGATGCACTATGACGCTTCATCGTGGTACGATGTTTTAACATGTACGAAAGATAACACTAGTTAAATATACTTTCTTTTAATTAGTATTTTAACAAAGCACATATCAACTAAAATTTTAATACTCATAGAATTACCCTAATTTCTATTATCTAATTAAATATTCTCATTGTTTTTAGTATTCGATTCCCCATAATAGGTAAATAAATATTCATAAGTTGAAATTAAATAAGATCAATAAGCTTCCAAAGATTCTACTATGCTTTTCACACATCCTAATTTATTGATATAAAAACTAAATTAAAAAACTAATTTTTTAATATGAAATTTTTATTTATTTATCTTCGCACATAACCAAAGTTAGAAATTGATAGTGTAGTAGAGTGTGGAGTGTAGCTTGTACGTAGTGTAGTGTTTTGGTGGAAAGAACAGAAAATAAAAGAAGGACATTGGAAGTCGTTCACAAGGGTGACGTGTCGTAGGGTTGGGCATATTAAATATTGAAGGCCACGTCACGACCACAGTATGAGTATTTAGCTAGGCCAAAAGCGAGCGGCACCACCACTTTCCACGCACCCACCTACGAAGGACACTTGTCCCATCACTCACCACGTGTCCCACGTCTTTCGGACATTTTGGCGCCAAACATGCCCGTGGGTTCCACGTCGGCGCCATTGGCGGGAAATCGAAGCAACCACTTCTTTCTCACTCCCTCCCTCACTCACTCATTCCGTATCCCACATGCTTTCTCATCTCCTCACCATTCTATTCCTTCTTTTTCCCCCACCCACACACTCTACAGTGGTCAAAGACCATCATCATCCATCCCATCCCATGCATGCATCTTCATCCATGCCGTGCGTCACGTGATTCCCATTATGACAAGTGAAAATATCTTACTCAGAATGGGACACCAAATTATGCACCACACACTCTCCCTCTGCACACACACTCGCATCACGTGATCTTCCAATGGTGCTCGTGGTAATACCATTAAATAATGCTGAGATTTGAACCAACACGATCCAGAGCAACCTATTTATTTACAACACTAATGAATAAGACACTACCCCGCACGTTCATTTATTTAGTTTTTTCAGTTTACATATATACTCACCATTTCCCTTTATTTTAATTTATTATTTCTAGTGAAAAGGTTTTATTAGTACATAAACCACTTAAAGAATTAGCCAACAAAAACTGAAGAATTATTAATAAGGAGTGTGAGGACGTGTTTGGCATTTCATATAACAAAAAAAATAGGGTTGATTGACAACACCTAATACTTTTTACTAATTCCGTAAAATAATTGAGTTGGAAGAGGTTGATGTGTTGCAGACAGTGTCGTCGTTGGCGAGATTCTTTGGCAGAAGGGCGTTTGGAGTTACAAATAACAAAATAAATCTTAATTTAAATTTATTAAGATTTATTTTCTTATTTGTAAAATATTTTAATTATGATCGAATGCAACAAATTTCATCAATATATTAATCAATTTAGTCTTATTGGATCAAATATAAATGAATCGTACTAAACATAATCGAACTAGGTTGAATTTATCTAATAGATAAGTACGTTAAATTATACTAAACAAAGTGTAAAGTTACTAAAGATAAGAATAGAAGAAGAATTATACAAGACATACTAAGCTTATCAAAGTTAAACCAACCATTCTTATAATACATTCAAGATTAAAATAGTGTGACTTATCATTTTAAAATTGAACCAAAATATGTTGTTGACTTAAAAAAAAAACATAAATACTAGAAAAAAAATTTATGAAAAATTTAAAAGTATATCATTTTAAATAATCAAGCTATATAACACACTACTAAATATTCTCATTTTTCATGAGAATATTTTTGCAAAATTTTTGTAAAAAATGCAAGAAATAAGTTTTTTATAAATTTAAATAATTTTTTTAAGAAAATTGCCAGAAAAAAACTAGTTTTTCTAGTGACATGAATTTTCATAATTTTAATTTATTTTTTAATTTTTAATCCAAATATCATATTTTATCGTAAACACATTTTTATTTTAAATATAATAATGAATTTATTTTCTATAAATTCCTTATACTCAAGATAATTTTTTAAAACCTTGAATTGGTTGACAAAAACAAACTCTGTTAGTGTTATATTTGATAAATTAATCTATTTTATTATAACCATTAATATTTTGTGACTCAAATTACATTTATCTATTATCAATATTATTAATTAGTTATTGATAATTTAATAATCATAATGTATATAAATTATGCATTTATACATGTACTTCTAAAAACTTATAATAAATATATCAATTATCAAGCACTTAGTATTTTTATAATTATTTTAAAATAAAACAGAAATAACATAATTAATTATTCAAAATATCACTTATTACTATGATAAATTTAATTTCAATAATTTACATGATATCATAATTAACTATCTTTTTGGTTATGTTCATAATATAATAATCTATTATCTTAATATACAGTAAGTTGTGTTATTCAGAATTACAAATAATAAAATAATTAATTATTAATTAATTATTTTGAGTTCTAAATTTATTTAATGATATAATCATTTATTATTTTTATTATAATCAATTCTTTTTTTTTAATTTATGCTTATCGCAATCTTATTTCCTTTTTAATGGGAATGTTCTTTATCAAATTACCAACAAATTAATTAATTTTGTTAAAAACTATTATCGATGCAATGATAAAAAAACTATTATCAATGCATTATCTTTATCTTTAATAACAATCTTTCGAAAGTTTATTTTTAATTATTCAATAATAAAAAATCATATATTGGTGATGCATTAATCACAAAATACAAATATAATATTATATAAAATTGATAAAAACACGTGATAATTTTTGTTTTAATTTATTATATATTAAAGAAATAAAGTATATTAATAATCATTAATAAATATAATTATTATTTCTTAAATTCAATTTGATATAAAACGTCTTAAAATTTGGTTGATAAAATACTGATAAGTAAATTATTATAAGAATATTATTATTTTCTTTAATTGTATTATTTTTATTTTTATAATAGTATATATATAGTATGTTAAAAAGATGATATTTGTTTTCTCTTTATAGAATGAAAAAGTAAAAACTAATTTGAAAAAATCAAACAAAATCCTTGAAAAGAGTTTAGTATAACAGTAACTATGTGTACCCACTTTATTACTTTATCTACTATCTTTATGTGTTTTCTTTAAATTTAAATTAAATATCATTTATTTCTTTATTAGGCGATCAGGAAGGCCCTAAGATTAGCATTCCATAAATATATTAATCAACAGAATCCGTTATAATTTTGTAGCAACGGAAGCGTTCTTAGGTTTAGTCACCGTTGGCGGCGCAAAAAGCTGCATGTCAGAGACCAACTCTCTCCACCCTCTCTTCTTGGCGCGTGTGATGCACCTGGTGTGGGAGGCTAACAACGGATTCATCCCCATCGTTGGATTCATTCGTGGGGAAACAGAAGACTCGAATTCCAAGGAAATATCGAAAGTCGTTACACTATGAGGGTATGATATCCATGTAGCATGTTGATGGGTCATGCATGGTTGATGCATGCGCAGTGTCTTACACTCACACAGCCTCATGCCAGCTCACACATAATAATGAAATAAATGTAATGTTTTTGCAGAATTAATATTCATATGTTTTACCTACTCGGGCCCATTAAATGCGAATTTTTGACCGGCGATAAAAAAAGACGAATGGGTAAGGAGTGTGTTGTGTAGAATAGAAAAAGGAGTGAGAGAGGAGGGGCCACTCACTGTGAGAGAAACCACTGCCAAACGCAGACACATACAGACACGCACAGGAGAGAGACAGAGGCAAAGACACTCTAGCGTCCTCCGTCTCACTGGAAACAAACAAGGTAAATTTCATTGTGAACTGTGTTGTTTCAATCTTCTCCGTTCATCTTTCTTCTTCTCTGCCTCGAGAATCTCATTTTATTAAAATTTATTATTTTTATTGTTATTAGTGGTGCTGTAATGTCTTTTTCTCAATTCTTAAAAAAATAAAAATTCTTGGTTCTGCTCATGTTGTATGGAGATTTGCAATCACTGTGACCTCTGTCGTACCAAGTTCGGATATTTGTTTATGTGTATTTTTCAGATCGATAAAATCCAGCTATTTATTTGCTTGTGTTTTCGTTGTTTGGTGTAAGTGGAGATAAAATCTGGCCATATATTTGTAATCTTTTTTTTTTTTTTTTATCTCAGGATAGTTTGAATTTCATTTGTTTTTTATATATATATCGATGTCTCTCACCTATTGATACTCTTTTCTCTCCTGGTTGGGCGGGTGAAGAGGTGAGATATAGCTTGATTCCTGCGTTTCTCGGAGGATCGGTCTTCAAAAGAAGGGTGGGGCAATCAGTGGATTTATGTCGTCTGAGTTGAAGCCCTCTATTATTTATGTTTCCATTTCTTTCTTCTTCATTCTATCAGTGTTCTGGTACATGCTACGTTGCATTCTCAGCGAGAATATCGTTAATCCATCTGTTTCAATGCGATTGAGGCCAAAAAGGTTTGTTTGTTTGGTTTATTCGTTTGGTTTATTTGGTTTTGTTTTATGGTATTGGTTTTGATTCGATTTCTGTGTTTTGTTACAGGACTTGTTGCGGAGTGGAGTGTTTTGGAGGATTTCATATACAAAGATTTTCTTATCTCTTCATATTCTTAAGAGGGGATTTTACCTGAGACTTGAGAGTTTTTGTTACTTTTCTTCTCCTAGCTTCATTCCTTCGATTTCCTTTTTCTTTCATCCGATTTGGTTTTCTTCAGTTTTCTTGGTATTCTGAGGGGTTTTAAAGGGGTTTTCCCCGATTATTTTCCCATCATGCCCGAGCTTAGAAAAACACCTGCTTCTAAACTGAAGCAGAAGCTTCACCACTCCTTGCAAGAGTCCAAAGCGACGAGAAAACTGCGCATCATTTACAATGATCCTGATGCCACTGATTCATCCGATGATGAGCTTGAGAGGATCCAGAAGCAGAGAAAAACTAAGAGAAGCGTGTGTGAAATCCCTCTGCCTCCACTTCCTCGGACATTCACCACTCCTGAAACTAGTTCCTGTGAGGTGAATAGCAACAACAATGGTCAACCAGAAAGTAAGAGAAGGAACACTTCTGGAAAATATAGAGGTGTTAGGCAGAGAAAATGGGGTAAATGGGCTGCTGAGATTCGTGACCCTTTTCAGAGTACTCGATTATGGCTTGGTACATTCAACACTGCGGAGGAGGCTTCTCAAGCCTACGAAGCCAGGAGGCTTGAGTTTGAAGCCATGGCAAAGGCTAGAGCCTACAAAAATGTTTCTAGTTCTAGTCCTGGTTCTGATCCTTTGCCCACAAATTCTGAGAAGAGTATCTGCTGTAACTCTTCTGCTGCTGTGTCTGTGTCCGAGAAGTTTTCTACTACCTCTGACGATTCAGAAAGTGTGTTGTCACACCCTTCGCCTTCCTCTGTCCTTGAGTTGGATATCTCAGTTACCAAAGCCATTGACATGGGTAATTTTTCTAACGAGGAAGCTGTTGAGGCTAATGATTTGGTTGCTGAATTTGCTGATCTGGAAATTCCAGATTTGAGTACGTTGAACTTGCCCTTACCATATGACGGTACTACTGCTGTTACGTCTGAGACTGAGCTTGGACTTGATTTTGATTGGTTAGGTGAGGATTTCGGACAGGATTTTAATGATTTTGGTGGCTTGGAAGATATTCATATTTGTGGGATTGACAATGAGTCTAGTGAACTTCCTGATTTTGATTTTGGTGATCTATGTGCTGATGAGATTGCTGGTTGGATGGAGGATGAGATTTCTGTGCCCTTCAATATACCTTGTGCCTAAGAGTTTTGGAGAATTGCATAGAAATAAATCTTTTTCTATAATATTTACTATGATGAGTTTTGTTATGATTATGATCAAGTTTTGTTAGTGTTGAGATCTATACACATTCTGAATGTTTCCTGAGTTATTGAGATGAGATGAGAGATATTAAAGTGAGATGAGAGAATCTTTGGGTTTTCCTGTGCTCTTGAGAGCAGTCCAAAGATATATGTAGAACCTATGAAATTTACTTTAATTCTAAAGTTCCAAGGTTATTTTAATTCCATTGTTGTTTAATTTTAAAGTTCCAAATTTGTTTGATTCTAAAGTTATTTTTGAAGAAGATGAAGATTCTAAAGTGCCAAAGTTAATTTAATTCCATAGTTGTTCCAAATTATTTCATAATTTTATATGAAGAGTTTAAGTTTTAATTTTGATATTAAGAGTTTAAATTTTATTCTAAATTTTCAAATTATTTTTGAAGAAGGTAAAGACTTTAATTCCAAAGTTATTTCATAATTTGTTGAACAAGATGAAGAAGTAGAACACTTGGTAAATGATATTAATATATATTAATATAAGTATGTCTTAACATTCTAATCTTATATACATTTTAAAGTGTGCCTTAACACTCTAATCTTATATACATTTTTAGTCCTGTAGATTTATGTTAATTCCAAAAAGTTTCTTCATAATTTGAAGATGAAGACATTTATGTTAATTTCAAAGTTTTCTTTAGAAGTTGAAGACATTTATGTTAATTCCAAAGTTCTTTCATGATTTATTTTATATATTATTAATGATATTAATATAACTGTATCTTAAAATTTTAATTTAAATTGCAGTCTAACCTTATATACATTTCAAGTCCTGATTATACAGGGACTTTATGTAATTAATTAACATGACTATAATAATATATTATATAATTGATTATATTTACGTCTCTTTTGATGAGGTTAATTTTAAAATATTTATATTAAATTGAAAAAAAAATCCTAATCTTTTATCTGTTTATTTGTAGGTTAAATTGTATGATGAGAATAACCAATAATGTATTTAAATAAATATATATATATATATATATATAATTTATAAACTAGTTGGTAAATAAATATATAATTTTAGACTAAAATAATAGTGAAACATTAGAGTAGAGGGAAGGTACGGCGTATAGACAGAGAGTGGGACCAAGGGGACTTCCTTTGTTCGTCAACGGAACAAGAGAAATAAAAAAAATTAACAGTAGAAGTTAGGGTACCCTACCCCACCCCCATCTAGCTAGCTGTATCGCATCTTCTTCACTTCTTCACTCTCTGCGCTTTACTAATTAATTAATAAATAAATAATATTTCAGTTAATAATAAAAGTGACCCTTTTGTCCACGTGTTGGTTGTTTCCTAAACATATATTGTCTGGGACACTAGTGGTACCTCCAAAATATCAGATACGACTGGAATCCCACTTTTGTTCTCATTTTATAATTAATATTATGAATATATGTGATGATATTTTCTCTAATTTTTCACCCCTACATGATAACAAATCAGTCACTTTGCATTCATAAAATATGATATTTTTTACCTGTTTTCTGTTTAATTTGTAAAATTTTTAAAAACTTATTATAAGATATTATAATTTTAATAAACTTAATTTTTATTTTTTTACATTTTCATATTTGAGATACAATTATCTGTTATTTTAAATTGATAAATAATAAAAACAAAATTAAAATATTAAAAAGTCTTAATTTGTGTAATTTTGTACAAAGTATTTTAAATTAATATTTATTTAGTGTAATGTTTGAATCCTAGTTATATATTTCACATGGCTATGACTTTTGTTTTTGTTATTATTATTATTATTCTCAACTAACTCAATGTCCATAATTATAGCAATTGAGTTTTAAATTTCTTTTGAAATTTGCAACTTTTTCAAGCTGAAAGGAGAATCTTAGTGTGACACATTGGGCCATGAGCGGAGAGGGTTGAACAGGACACATGGCTTGCATCAAGTGGTGGACGACTAAGAAAAAAAAAATTGCGGTGATTGGTGGAGGAAATAAAAAGGAAGGGGGTAGAAGAAATAATTTGATAAGAGTGAAGTGAGATAATTAGGTATAGGTAAAAGAGCAAAGTGGGTCCCAAATTCACGTTTACAATTGAATGGAGATTGATGATGTTCTCATGATGGAATGAGAATGAAAAGACATAACACTTATGCATGGTGATGGTGTCCAAGAGCAAATGCATCCCACTTTCTCCTTTTATTTATTTGTTTTTTTCTTTCAATTTTTTTTTTCTTCTGTTATGGTCGTTTAAGACTTATAATAGTTGTACTAATCGTTTGCGTTAAGAAGCTTTTAATTGACTTTGCCACCATTGGATGCAAATCTTTGTCAGTTGTCTGTTTCCGACACTCAAACAATAATATCAACATCTTCATCCCCACTGTCTCGTGTTAACTAAAAGTCCAAGGAGTATAACAATTTTGCTTGGGCACCAAGTTATATTTCGTGTTTTTTTTTCTTTATTATAATCCTTATATTTAATCGTAAAATTTACGTCATCATTGATTTAATATTTTTTAAAATAGAATACTTTAATATTATAATTTTTTTAAAATGTCTCACAATTAACATTTTAAATAATTTATTATCTTAAATATGTTTTTAAACTTTAAATATTCGAGAAAATAAATATTTAAATTTTGCATTATATTAAAAACTAAAATCAATTAATATTAACAAATAAAAAATGAAATTAAATAAAAATATAAAAAAGAATACATATTAAGTTGAAAAAATAATTAGGCACTAATTATAACGTATTAGTTTAATTCTATCTCTTATTTTAAAAAAATATGAACAATATATGTGAAAACTTTTTCATGAAATGGTGCCTCTTCGAATATTAAATTCTTGTGAAAACAAGTGTGCAGTGAAGGAAGAACTACAAATATCCTCTGCTGACTCTGCAGGAAGGATTTACCTGCAGCACATATATGAATCATTGATCATACTCTCTGGCATGATTAGCTAGAATTGTGTTAATCTATCAATGGTCCAAAGTTTGCAGCACCATGACTGCATGAGATCTTGGTTGCAGAGGATCTAAGTAGGGAAGAAAATGAAGTGTTAGGTTTAGTGGGTCCTTGCGAATTGACGAGAAAGGGGGAAAAGGAAGGAGTATCCTATCAGGTTTTTCAGAATCTTGGTGTGAATTGACTCATTCGGTGGAATAATAAAATAAAACTTTGGAATTAGTGGAAATGTAGATTCAAAAAATTAAACCATGATCACAAAAACAAAACAATTAAATGCAATACATTAAAGTTAATTGCAAAATCATATTAGGCGCAATACTTTGTGAGATTACCTTCTAAAATGACAATACAACATCGTGTTCTTGAACTTTAGGGTTTTAGTTTTTGGGAAGAGACAAGATTTGCTAAGAATGTTTAGGGTAGAAGTAGTTTAAGTTTTCTGGGAAGTTTATATTTATAGTTTCCTTACCCCTTAAATGGTTTTTGAGATTAAAAACCTTAACGCATACTTTTTGAGATAAAAAGTCTTCAAAGTATGCTTTGAATACAACTTTACTTACTCATTTCAATATTGTTCCTCATTATTTAACCTGGGACTTTGAAATAAATTTTTTAATTCATTTTTGTTGGACTGATTCCTTGAATTTATTTTTTAAGATTTAATATTTTAATTATTTTTTCAAATTTATTTTAAAACTCATATAACTAATTTAAAATACACAATGACTTATTTTCTTGTATATAGTTAATTTTATGTGAAATATAAAATATTTGTCAATTTTCATGAGAGTAAATTCATTTTTATCATTAACAATGCAAGTCATTATTATTTTCTGGAAGGTGATTTATTAAACTAGTAATAATGCCATTAAATATAATTTTTACTAGTTAATTTCATTTTATCAATATTTTTAAAATAAAATTTAAATTTATAATAATATTAATTAAAATTAATCAATTTAACTACTTTTATTTGTTTCGATTAATTAAGTATCTACTTCGTATATATAAAATCAAATCTATTTTTCTTTTATCCACGGGATATTCATCAATGAAGATGTTAATACAAAAGTTTAATAATTTTCTTATGAAATTAATCGCGGGTTGATGAAATTTAAATAAATTTTAGTGGTGAAATACATTATTTTTTTATTCAATCTATTAATTATGTCCTCAAATTATAAATCGTTTCTGTATCTGTTTAATTAACTAATCTTCACAGCGCGACTCTTTTAATTATTCTCTTTTGTATATGTTTCTAAACCAATTTTTATTATTTTTCTTAAAATAATTTTTTTAATAATAATAATAATAAAAAAAAAAGTCATGTAACAATTTAATTTACTGATTATAAGTTAATATGAGTAGAAACATATAGAAACAATTTAATAAAAATAAATATATAGACATTTTTTTAGTAGAATATAGTTTCTCAACGTCTTTTAATGATTATAGAAAGATTTAAATATACTTTAAATTCTTATGCATATAGGTTTGTCTTGTTTAATTTTTTGTAAAATTTTCGTTATTCAATTCTAATATAAGTTGTGTTTTAGTCTTTATAATTAATTTTAGTTAAATTAGGGTTGATATGACTAATAAAATAAAAATATTAAATAAAATAATGTAATAAAAATATTTAAAATTAAGATGATTCTATTATTATTATTATTATTATTATTATTATTATTATTATTAGTAATTAAAACAAGTAATAAATGTATAGTTTTATGTAAATAAGTTAAGTATATAAAATTATTTTATGATTTATTGTTTTTATACCCATCTAATTTTTCCATTCACTCGTTTGCTTTGAAGTAAATTACTAATTTAGTCGTAATTTTTTCTTTTATTTTGGTCTCTAAACATATATTCGTGGAGTAGATATTAAGATGAAAAAAAAAAAACATGATTTCAAGCACACAAATTGGATTCCGTTTTTCCTGAAAGACTTGTTGAGTTTTTGTTAATTGCAAGGTAAAAAATAAATCTAACTTCAAGGATTAAATTGGTCTTTTATTCTTTGATATATTACTTTTGATTTAATTTATATATTAAATTTAGGTTAAATCAATTTTTTTCTATTAACTTTTTTTATCTCATTATTATTTGTAATGTTATTTTTTAATAACAAATCAAAATGGTCTTTCTAATTAATATTAAGTTGTGTAATAGTGTTATGTCATTAATTATATGGATAAATAAATGTGATATGAGTATTTATATAACATTTTTGTTAGACAACTGATGAAATGGATATCATATTAATTTATTTTAATAAATACTAAAATTGACACTAATAATGACACAAATTGAAAAATAAAAAACCCTTCAGTTTATTAATTTTGATAACATTAATTTATTTAAAATAAATACATTTTAATAAATGTTTTATCCAATGGTGGTAAAATAATTACGGTACTTTAGAGTGATTCAAGTGTGCCTCCTAGGAGTCATTTGTTTGAAAGATTTAAAAGTTAATATTTGCCTCTGAAAATAAAATTATTTCTTTTGATACATTAAAATAAATCATAATGTTGGCAATCAAAATCAAAATCCATTATAAAACTAAATCTTATGCAATTATAGTATTAATATAAAATAACTTATTATCAAATTACACACACACACACACACATATATATATATATATATGTAAATTATAATATTTTTGTTACATTAGTTTTTGTTTTTAAATATTAATGTAGTTTATCTTGCTAGATATGCAAATACTAATTAATTGGAGTTGATGATAAAACCTAAAAAGAATATTAACAAAAAAAAAATCAGAAATCTATTCATAAAAAGATTACAAAAACTAGAAATCATATTTGCAAAAATTCAAAACATATTTAATTCTCATAAAAATTATCTTAAAACATAAAGTTTTTTTCCTTCTATATAAAATGATTCAGAATCAAAGAAATTTATTTTAGAAAATATTAAATTTTAATTTATAAATACGTTAAATTTTGTGTACTTAATCTTTTCATTGTAGAAAAATTACAAAGCTATCTGTATAAAACCTTTTTATTTTAATCTAACAAATATAAAACTAATTTTCGGGCACATGAGCTTGTGAGTGGGCTTAAAAATGAATAGATGTGTACATGGGCCTAAGTAGCTTATTCTACAAAATTGTTTCGGCTCCCATACTTCTTTCAAAGCCTTTATGATTTACACCTATTAATTTACTGAGTACACTTTCACGTTTTTTTTTTAAATATTTTTATTACCAAAGAATCCCTTTGTATAAAAATTCATAAAACCATATATTTTTGTATTTGCATTCAGTATTCCTTAATCTTGTTTTTCCTCTCCCATCATTATTCTTTAAACTTTAATTTTGCATCATTCCTTAAACCATTTAAATGTATTTTAGTTTCCTTTCTTCTTAATAATAAAATTTCATCATGATTTATTCACTACAATGAATATGATATTTTTCATCAAACACAAATGCAATAATTTGTGTTTCATCGATCCTATATGCAATGTTGATGTCCAATACAAATATTTAGATAACATAATTGAAACATGAAAGAATAAAAATTATACTAGAAAATGGTCCAAATTAAAAATAAAAAATAAAAAAGAGAGAAATTCAACTTTGTTTTTGCTGCTTCTGTTGAATGTTCTCATGAATGATGAGAATGGAATACTTGCTTTCAGGGATAAGGTTGCTGGCCGATGGTTGTTTCAACTTCTCCACATCAATAATAACTCACTCAATATCATAAAATAAAGGAATGGGGAATTTCATCAATATATCTTCCACGTATTAGTTAAAGAATTATAAATTGAAAAAAAAATGACCCTCATACACAATACTTCTTCCTTCCAAAATATATAAAGTTTAAGATCTTTATATAATTTTATTAAAATAGTCTCATTTTGTTCATAAAGACAATATATTTCCTCAAATGATTTTTCTCACACTATATTTAATATTAGTCAAGATTGAAGTAATTTAAGTAGGACAAAGTAGAAAATAATGAACAATAGTATATTGTAAATTTTTTTGGAATCAATTATTTTATAACAGATTATATATAATTTTAAAAGTATATACAATTTGGAAAAGACGGAGAAAATTATATAACAAATTAATGATAAAAAAACTTGTGATTTATGATTGAATAACGTTACAAACAGATATTATATCGACTTAATGATAATAATGGAAACCCTAAAAATAATAATGGAAAGGAATGGCAGGATATACATAAAATAAAAATACAGAGCAGGAATTGAAATCAATGTTGTAGGAGTAAAGTCTAATTTCGCACCTAGAAAAATATATTTTAAATTAAATATTACTCTTTGACTCTGCAGTCAAGATGATAGATCCTGCTACATGAAGATGCTCACTCTTCCTTCCTCTCTCACATTTTTTCCTTATTTTTATAACACATTAGTTTTGATATTAATACGATTATCTTCTATGAATCCAAACAAATTCCAATTTGCCAAATCAACCACCACTGTAAAAGAACAAATAACGTGTTCTTTTTGTATCACGGGAGTTTTGATAATTAGGTTTAGGTCAACCAAAATGACAAGAGAAACCACAACATTATACAAAACTATAACACTACGTACCTTTTAACCTAATTATAGGCACATTAACTACTTTCACATTAGTTCACAAAAAAAAAGTTTAAATCTATTTAATATTTTCATTTTTTATAATAAAGCAGTATTTTTCTTAAATTATATTTAGTGAGAATAATAATAGCATTAAATAAGGTTTAAGTATAATTGGATTTTATTTAATATAAGTTCATTAAATACATTCTGCTTCTTTTTATACCCGTGTCAATATGAAATGCAATATTAGGTTAATATTGATAAGCGATGGCGGATCTTGACCATTGATCTTGGGGGTCAAATAATATATTATTAATAAATAATAAATAAATATAAAAGGAAGAAAGAATATGAAAGGTTGAAAAGATAAAATTGTAGATATATACTTAAATATATTAAATTATCATTAAGTTTGAGGGAAACAAAATCATAAATTATATAAAAGTTACAAAGCTGAGGAGAGGCTAGGAGGATAAAATTGTAAATATACAAATAAATATATTAAATACTCATTATGTTTGGAGGGCAAAATCATTAATTACATGGGAGTTACAAAACTTTGGGGGCTACGGCCCTCAGCTCCAAGAAGATCCGCCATTGTTGATAAGAGATCTAGCTCTATTGGTTAAGGATATGTATAGTTGTAGTAAATTTTCTTATAACGTGTTAAGAAAAATAAAATATTAAGTTAATACTGGCTCTAGTTAAAATTGAATTTTCATTTTTTTTACTAGAACTAACAGCAATTACTAAAAAACTGTCGATTATGAATAAATAATAATATAAATAATAAAATGTTGAAGCAACAACTAGTGATTTTCAATTGGACATATATAAACCTAACCAACGTAGAAGTTATTTTAACTAGTTTCAATTTTACAAATTATATTTAATTGTCGAAGGAGGAAGAACACCTATTTAAGTTTAATATTATCTAACCTAA